GCCAGATATTAATACATACTTTCAACATATTGTACCACAGTATCCAGAACTATAACTATAATATTATTACTTTCATTAATGTTGTTGTAAGCTACTGTCATTACCTGCATCTCTCTCTCTGTCTCTCTTTCTGTCTCATTGTGTCATACGGATTACTGTTCATTTATCATACTGATCTGTTCTGTACGACATCTATTGCACGTCTGTCCGTCCTGGAAGAGGGATCCCTCCTCAGTTGCTCTTCCTGAGGTTTCTACCATTTTTTTCCCTGTTAAAGGGTTTTTTTGGGGAGTTTTTCCTTATCAGCTGTGAGGGTCATAAGGACAGAGGGATGTCGTATGCTGTAAAGCCCTGTGAGGCAAATTGTGATTTGTGATATTGGGCTTTATAAATAAAATTGATTGATTGATTGATTGATTGATCCACCACATATCCTTGTTTAGTCTGTCTTTGTTCTGCAGAGAGAAAAACATTGGTAATAATTCACCTTCTACCTCCACAAGTTTTATCACCGCCTCAGGAATTACTATTATTAGTAAGTAGTAGGTCTAGCAGTAGTTGTAAATGGTAGCAGTAGTAATAGTAGTAGCAACAGCAGTAGTAGTAGTAGTAGCAGCAGCAGTAGTTATAAATGGTAGCAGTAGCAGTAGTAGTTATAAATGGTGGTAGTAGCAGTAGCAGCAGTAGTAACGGTAGTAGCAGCAGTACCAGTAGCAGTAGTAGCAGTTGCAGTAGCAGTAGTAGATGTAGCAGTAGCAGTAGTAACAGTAGTAGCAGTAGTAGCAGCAGCAGTAGTAGCAGTTGCAGTAGCAGTAGTAGAAGTAGCAGTAGCAGCAGTAGCAGTAGTAGCAGTTGCAGTAGCAGTAGTTGCAGTAGCAGCAGTAGCAGTAGTAGTAACAGTAGTAGTAGTAGTAGCAGCAGTAGTAGCAGTAGTAGCAGTAGCAGTAGTAGTAGCAGTAGCAGTAGTAGTTGTAGCAGTAGCAGCAGTAGCAGTAGTAGCAGTTGCAGTAGTAGTCGTAGCAGTAGTAGCAGTAACAGCAGTAGCAGTAGTAGTAGTAGCAGTAGTAGCAGCAGTAGCAGCAGTAGTAGCAGTAGCAGTAGCAGCAGTAGTAGCAGTAGTAGTAGCAGCAGTAGTAGCAGTAGCAGCAGTAGCAGCAGTAGTAGCAGTAGTAGTAACAGTAGCAGCAGTAGTAGCAGTAGCAGTATTACTCTTGGTCAGAACTTCAACAAACAAAAATCAAAATCCAACAAACATTTTGAGCCTTGATAAAATTCCGAGCGTGAACACGATCAGCGGTGATTCAGACACACTGATCTACCAGCTGGTGTCACTGTGTGTGTGTGTGTGTGTGTGTGTGTGGTTGCCATGGTGACAGAGACGACGGGAGGACGGACTACAGAGCTGCTGCAGACGGAACAAATCACACTGCAATAAAAAAATGTCTGGATCAGGTTAGTGGAATCACGGAGGAGGAATCTGGCTCCAAGATTAACCCAGCAGAAATGTGTCAGCAGGACAGAGGAGGAGGAGGAGATGGAAGAGGAAGAGGAGGAGGAAGAGGAGGATCAGCCTGAGGTTACTTTCGGGTGTCTGTGTCAGATCTGACGTCCTGTTTGTTTAATGTCCACCTGAACCGAGTTCTGACGGTGATGTCTATGTCAGCTGGAGCTAAAAACACCACCCAGAAACATCATTGACATAAACGCCACCCATTATCCATCCATCATCCAACCATCCATCCATCATCTAGCATCCATTCATTCATCCACCCATCCATCATCCAACCATCCATCCACCCATCCATCCATCCATCATCCACCCATCCATCCATCCATCTTTTAGAGGGTGGTGTGGGGACAGAGACAGAAACAAAAACAGAACCTCCACTTGACCTGACATGGACCCCACCTTGAGAAAACCTCCACAGGAACAGGAAATGTGTTTCTGAGCAGCGTCGGGAGGAATGACTTCCTATCTGCAAAGACTAGAACATGGCGACTCATTCATGGACTTGTCAGACGTCACATTTGCCACAGCAGCACGTTCAGTGTTTTTATTTCCTGGTTATGTTGTAACATCACCTGTGATGATGCGCGGCTCAGGTGAGCACCGAGTCACAGTCTGTTTAAGGATCGACCTCATCAACCTGCTACTGTGAAACTCTTAATGAAACCTGTCGGGATAAACGATCTGCGTCCAAACTGCGACCGACCAATATTGTTTCACCTGACTCTGACTGCTGTCGATGTAAAGGTCGAGGTCACAACAAAAGTCCACCTGTTAAAAAGTGTCTTATTGTTTTACGTGTCATGTCGGTGACATGTGACGACCATACGTCTCTGTGAGTGGTAATCCCTGAACTGAAGCAAGTACTTAAAGTAACTGATTACTTTAAAATGCAGTGATTAGTTTTGTGTATCTGAGTTGGGTGGAGGTGATGGGTGGAGGTGATTGACAGAGAGACAGCAAACAGCATGCTGCTGTTTGACTTCAGAACATTTCCAGACATATTTGTGGCGACATGACCAGATATTTAAACCTGAAACCTAACCACAGCCAACAACATGTCCACCACATATGAAACATTTATCTGGTGATGGATCGGTCTGAACGCCACACCACCAGTCGGCAGGTTTGAACCTAAATCTTCTGGCTGAGGTGACGAGGTGCAAACTGCTTCACCTGCCTGCTGCTCAAACTAACGACACAGTCATGTTGATTAGTCCAATTAAAGGTGGTGGAGAGTGGATTTTCAGTGATGTCACTTTTCTTTCTGCCTTCAAATAATAATTAAAAAAAAAAAAAAAAACAGTAACAGCATCATTTTGTGTGTGTGTGATGTTGGGACGACGAAGACGAGGATGAAGATGTCACCTTGAAACTATAGAATTAAATAAATTTGAATCTACACAGACAGAATGAGCCAGATTAAACTGGATTATAACGACACACTGATTCCATCTCGTGCACGCTCCTGCATCATTCATGTGACAGTAACGTGGCGGTTGTGCACCATGAATCTCAGACAAAGAGCGAAGAAACCTCTGTGTTTTTTTATGTTTTTCTTCTGGGCTCAGTGTGTCAGAATGTGTCTGTCCACATCATGAATTATTCATGAAGCCTCTCGGCCTTCAATAATCCTGAAGCCTTTGTGTCGCCGCGGCGCCTCCAGGGATCCGGTTTACTGCATCACTGTCACGTCTCCAACACGGAGAACATTCATGTTAATGATCTGATTCAGAGACTGTTCAATTATTTTATTATCTGTCTGCAGCACTGAGCTCATCACATCTCTGATACCTATCAGTTTTATTTTGACCTCATCATCATCGTCGTCGTCTCATCTCGTCTTGTCTGTTGTCTCTGAAATATTCAGTTTATATTGTGTCTTCACTGTGACCTAATTTCAGCTCCTCACATCTGTCAAATTTTCCTGCACACACTTGGTAACCACTCCATCATCAGATATGTTTTCTGCAGCACAGTGTCCATGTTTCTCTGGACCCCATTATAATGTGGATTATATTTTGGGTCCGGTTCAGTGAGTGTGAACAGGACCCGGGTTTAATCCCGTCACTGAGCAGCAGCAGCAGCAGCTGAGTGTGCAGAGCTTCCTAACCTACAAAGGGAGGCTCACTGACCTCCTTTCTGTTGCCCTGTGGGACTGTGTTCAGCGGCTGCTGCTGCTGCAGAGCCTCATCAACGGCTTCATGGTGAACGTACACGGTGCAGATCGCGGTCTTACCGTGGACACTGAGCGGGATCAGGTGCAGAACCAGGACGCACGACAGCAGCGTTCGTCTCAAGCATCCGGTGTAAAAGCTCGTCTCGTTCCGCCGCATCTTCACCGCGCACAGACTCAGTCAGACGGTCAGAGAATAAAGATCCTCGGTGATCAGAGAGAACAGTTTATAAATGTGGGTCTGAGTCAATCCCCGTCCTGATGTGGGTCAGAGTAAGTCCTCGTCCTGATGTGGTTCAGTCTAGACTCCAGCCTCTCTGCGCTGCACCTCCATATCCGCTGCTGCTTCACGCGCTTGGCTCGGCTCGGCTTGGCTCACTTAGCACACTGAGGCTGGTTACGGCTCCATTGCCTCAGAGCGGCGGTGGGAGACGGAGAGACGAGGGTGGGGTGGTGGTGGAGGCGGTGGTGGAGGCGGGGATGCGCGCCGTGGCTCGGCTCGGCTCGGCACGGATCGGTGCTTTGAAACAGAAATAACCGCGCAGCGGAGTGAGGCGCGCTCTCATCGTGTGGGGAGGGGACAAGAGGGCTGCTGATGGCCCTCCACCTCCTCCTCTTCATCATCCCTCCTCCTCCCTTTCCACAAGTCCTCTCCTACCTCCATCCTCCTCCTCCCTCCATCCTCCCCTTCCTAAAACCTTTCCCTGTCCTTTAAAGAGTCCATGTTTCCTCGTCCTCGGACTTTTTGTCCTTTTCTTTAGGACACTCCTCCTCCTCCTCCCCCTCCTCACTCTCCTCCTCTTCCTTCATCCTTCATAACTTTTGGGAACTTCCTTTTCCTCTTTCCAAACATGTTTGTTAAGTCCCCACATTCACCTCCTCAGACTATTTCTCCTCTTCTTTCTCTTACTGCTCCTCCTTCTCCTCCTCTAAGCTGTTTCCATTTCCATTGAATCTCCATGTTGGTCTCACCCGTCCATCCATACTGTCCCTGAAATTGTTCCTTTTCTGTTCCTAGGACACTTCCTTTGTCGTCCTGCTCCTCCTCTTCTCTCCTTCTTTCCTTCACCTAAAATGATTTTCTTCTTCATCCTCCTTTGACCTCCTCCCTCTTTACCAGGAATCATCTCTTCATCTTCAGACACCTCCCTTTCTTCCAGAAACTTTTTATTCTCTGAGATGTTTCCGTCCTCCCTCCACCTTAGTTTCCCCCCCCCCCCCCGTCCTCCTTCGTCCTTTCACACTTTCACAGACATTTCTCCTCCTCTTCATTTATTCCTCCATCTTCCAAGACTTTTCAACCCTTCTTTTCCTCCTCCTTCTCTCCCCCATCCTTCACCTCCTTCAGCTTTTCCTTTTCCTCAACCAATTCCTCCTCCTCCTCCTCCTCCTCCTCTCTCAGACCTTTCAGTGTTTTGTTTTTCACACTCAAAACACTTTTTCTCGCCTAGGGAAAAAAATCAGCTGAACTTTCCTCTGTCGCTCCATGTGTGTATGTGTGTGTGTGTGATTATGTAAAAAAAGAAAAGAGTGTTTGATGCCGTCAAAACAACCGGCTTTGTTTAATAATGTGACAGAGAAGCAACAAAAGGGAGGAGGGGGGAGGGGACCGGTGGTGGTGGGGGTGGGCGTGGGGGGACATGGTGACGACTGTCTAAAGGCCCCAGGGAGGAGGAGGAGGAGGAGGGGGGGCTGTGTGTGTGTGTGTGTGTGAAATGAAATGTTTAGTGAAACAGAAAATGTGTGTGTTGAGTTGTAAAAACTGGGTCAACGGGACGATTCGGTTAAATCACAGAATCATGATGAAGATGATGATGGTGGTGATGGTGATGGTGATGATGATGATGGTGAAGGTGAAGATGATGATGATGGTGATGATGGTGATGATGGCGGTGATGGTGATAAATGCTAGGCATAAATTTAGCAATAGAATACTAGATGTAAATGTAGCAATAGGATGCTAGATGTAAATGTAACAATAGGATGCTTAGCATAAACATAGCAACAGAACACTAGGCATAAATGTAGCAATAGGATGCTAGGCATAAACATAGTGTGGTGTTGAAAACACCCAGAATGAGGCCCAGAAATACTGCACTCTTAAGGTCAAGTATGAGGCAAACCACATACATAGCAATAGAATGCTAGGCGTAAATGTAGCAATAGGACACTAGGCATGAACATAGCAACAGAATGCTAGGTGTAAACATAGCAATAGGACACTAGGCATTAATGTAGCAATATAACGCTAGACTAGATTGTAGCAATAGAACATTAGATGTAAATGTAGCAATATGATGGTGTAAATGAAGCATAGGGTGCTAGGTGTAAACATAGTGATTAGATGCTTAGCATAAACATAGCAACATTATGACAGGCCTAAACATAGCAGTAGGACACTAGGCATACACATAGCAATAAGACGCTAGGTGTAAACGTAGTGACAGGACACTAGGTGTAAACATAGCAATAGGACGCTAGGCGTAAATGTAGCAATAAGACACTAGGCATAAGTCTAGCAATAGGATGCTAGGCGTAAATGGAGCAATAGGATGCTAGGTGTAAATGGAGCAATAGGAAGCTAGGCGTAAACATAGCTATAGGAAGCGATGTGTAAATGAAGCAATAGGGCGCTAGGCATAAACATAGTGACTGGATGCTTAGCATAAACATAGCAACATTTTGACGGGCGTAAACATAGCAATAGGACACTAGGCATAAACATAGTGATTGGATGCTTAGCAAAAACAGCAACATTTTGACGGGCGTAAACATAGCAGTAGGACACTGGGCATAAACATAGTGATTGGATGCTTAGCATAAACATAGCAACATTTTGACGGGCGTGAATGTAGCAATAAGACACTAGGCGTAAATCTACCAATAGGACGCTAGGCATAAATCGAGCAATAGGAAGCTAGGCATAAACATAGCAAAATAGGACGCTAGGCATTAATTTAGCAATAGAATGCTAGACTAGATTGTAGCAATAGAACGTTAGATGTAAATGTAGCAATAGGATGGTGTAAATGAAGCATAGAGTGCTAGGCGTAAACATAGTGATTGGATGTTTAGCATTAGGGCTAGGTGATATGGCCTAAAAAAAAAAAATCTCTGACTTTTTCACAAAAAATCAGATTCACGATTTAAATCTATTTTTTCCCTTCCTAGTTAAAAAAATAAATAAATAAATAAATAAATTGCAGCCTGGTAGCACATACCTGGGGTCCAAAACTTTCAGCATGTGAATAAACCCCAGCTCTTCCATGGTAGCCTATATATGGGCACCATATCTCTTGCAATATACATGGCGACTGCATCTGTGATCACTTTCCACCGGACCCCTTTCTTATCATATGGCAGTGTTTCCCCTACCATCATATTGGATCACAACAGAAGTCATTTAAGGTTACCTTTACTATAGAACAGGTCTATACCTTGTCCTTTTATTAAACAAACTAAATAACCTTATGTTACAGGCTGAGCCTGATGTGTGTGGCTTCTGTGTGTGTGTGGAGCTGTGTATGTGTGTAGTTGATGTAGGAGGTATGAGATGTTAGCGCGCCGGGTGTGGTGTGTGACGTCAGACGGATGCGCCCCAGGAAGAAAGTGAGGCATGTGCTCTGTTATTTACATCAAGCAGCCACAGTGAAGAAGCCTATGCAGTTCTGCATGCTGTTTTTGAGTTATTTCCCTCTATGTAAAAGTCAGACACTGATGAGAGAGGCTGTGCATCATCCCTGCAGTGCTGAAAATAAAGTGCCGTTCTTTTTCTTTTTCGAATTAATCGATAAAATCGATTTATCGCCCAGCCCTACTTAGCATAAACATAGCAACATTATGACAGGCCTAAACATAGCAGCAGAACACTAGGCATACACATAGCAATAAGACGCTAGGCGAAAATGTAGCAGTAGGACGCTTGGCATATATCTAGCAATAGGATGCCAGGCGTAAACCTAGGTATAGGACACTAGGTGTAAATCTGGCATTAAGACACTAGGCGTAAACATTGAAATAGGATGCATGGCGTAAACGTAGCAAAAAGATGCTAGGTGTAAATGTAGTGACAGGACACTAGGTGTAAACATAGCAATAGGACGCTAGGTGTAAATGTAGCAGTAAGACACTAGGCTTAAATCTAGCAATAGGACATTAGGCGTAAATGGAGCAATAGGATGCTAGGTGTAAATGGAGCAAAAGGACGTTAGGTGTAAAGGTAGCTATAGGAAGCGATGCATAAATGAAGCAATAGGGCACTAGGCATAAACATAGTGACTGGATGCTTAGCATAAACATAGCAACATTTTGATGGGCGTAAACATAGCAATAGGACACTAGGCATAAACATATCAATAGGACCCAAGGTGTAAATGTAGCAATAAGACACTAGGCATAAATCTATCAATAGGACGCTAGACATAAATCGAGCAATAGGAAGCTAGGCGTAAACATAGCAATAGGATGCTAGGCATAAATGAAGCAATAGGACACAATGCATAAATGAAGCAACAGGGCGCTAGGTGTAAATGTAGTGATTGGATGCTAGGCATAAACATAGCAACTTTATGACAGGCGTAAACATAGCAATAGGACACCGGGCATAAACATAACAATAGGACACTAGGCGTAAATGAAGCAATAGGACGCAAGGTGTAAACATAACAATAGGATGATAGGTGTAAGCGTAGCAACAGGACACTAGGTGTAAACATTGAAATAGTACGCTAGGCCTGAACATTGAAATAGGATGCTAGGAGTAACCATAGCAATAAGACGCTAGGCATAAATGTAGCAACAGGACGCTAGACATAAATGTGTCAGCAGTAAGCTAGGCATAAACGTGTGTGGTTGTGCTGCTGCCGTGGTCCTGCCAGATGCCTCCTGCTGCTGCTGCCATCATTAGTCATTAGTCATACTTCTACTGTTATTATACACATATGACTATTGTCACACATGTATACTGCCAGATATTAATACATACTTTCAACATATTGTACCACAGTAGCCAGAACTATAACTATAATATTATTACTTTCAATAATGTTGTTGTAAGCTACTGTCATTACCTGCATCTCTCTCTCTCTGTCTCTCTCTCTCTGTCTCATTGTGTCATACAGATTACTCTTAATTTATCATGTTGATCTGTTCTGTACGACATCTATTGCATGTCTGTCCGTCCTGGAAGAGGGATCCCTCCTCAGTTGCTCTTCCTGAATGTAGCAACAGGACGCTAGGCGTAAACATTGAAGTAGGATGCTTGGCGTAAATATAGCAACAGGATGCTAAGAATAAACATAGCAGTATGACACTAGGCATAAACTTTGAAATAGGATGCTAGGCATAAACATAGAAATAGGATTCTTGAGGAAACGTAGCCATAGGACGCTAGGCATAAATGTAGCAACAGGACACTAGGTGTAAACATTGAAATAATACGCTAGGCCTAAACATTGAAATAGGATGCTAGGAGTAACCATAGCAATAAGATGCTAGGCATAAACATAGCAATTGGACACTCGGTGTAAACGTAGCAATAGGCCACTAGGCATAAATGTAGCAATAGGCCGCTAGACATAAATGTGCTAACAGTAAGCTAGGCGTAAACATTGAAATAGGATGCTAGGCGTAAACATAGCAATAGGACACTAGGCATAAACATTGAAGT